GGTCCATCAATGGCTATTAGTCAGGATGGGCAGGGATGGCGTCCCTCCCTAGCCTTTGTCTGCCACAAGCTGGGAATGGGTGATGGGATGGATCACTTGATGATTACCTGTTCTGTTCATTCCCTCTGGGACACCTGGCATTGGCCACTGTCAGAAGACAGGATACTGGGCCAGATGGACCTTTGGCCTGGCCCAGTATGGCAGCCGTTATATTCTGTTGCTAGGTCTTCTTATAATGGAGCCCTTTTCTGCTTGTAAGCCTACCAGTGCTCATCCTAGCACAAAGCTTCTAAAGCTGCTGGGCTCCGAACACTTACTCTGATGTATCCCATGTCTGCCAGCCTCGCGATTCTGCTCTTGGCACACACATTTGAAGTGAAAGGAAGCGTGCAGAACTTTTAAAAAGAAAAGAGGCTGAGCATTCTGTGAAATTGGCACTAGGGATGAGAGAAAACACAGACTTCCATGGGGTAATGCTACATTTCAGAGTTTTCGTTCACCCGAGATTCCAGGCTTAAGGATTCTTGGTAGCTAGCCAAGAAACTTGGATTGGTGCCAACAGGTTCCACAGCTTTTCTTGGGTTTGTTTGGTTCTCCCCCCCCCCCCTTTTTTTTTTTTTAAATTGCATATAACTCCAGAAAGAGATCTGGAGTTTGGATTTATTTTTAACCATAAAGATTGACTTTCCCCACGCTTGTTTTAGATTCAGTGTTAGACAAACTTCAGAATGTGTCAGTATTTCCCTGATGCTTCTTTTACCCTGCCTCTTCCCCTCCACTCTGCAAAGGCTTTTGTTTTAGGAGCAATTTTAAAAGCAAAGCTTGGGGCTGAGAAGAAAGGTTAAAGATCTTAAACCAATTCAAATGAAAGCTGCACAACAGTTAAACCAGTGGGTACATGCGGTGCAGTCCTTCCTCAGGCCAAACTCACATCAGGTGAACTGGGAATTCTGCTTGAATAAGGACCGCAGAAGTTGTCTCTTAAGATATATCTATGCTACAATAAAAGCCCTGGGGCACTGAGTCCCAGAGCCTGGGTCAGCTGACTCGGGTTCACAGGAGCTAGAAAATTACAGTGTAGAAATTCTGGTTCAGGCTGGAGCCTGAGCTCTGAGCCCGGGACCCTGAGCTGAGCCTGAGTCAGTTGATCTGGGCCAGCCACAGCCAGGCCACGGTTCTTTTTTATTCCTAGGTAGGGTCTGTCTGCATAGCACCTGGAAGACAAAATGCCCAGCTTGTGTAGACCTACACACACTAGCTCTGCTCGAGCTAGCACAGGACAAATAGAGCGGCCACTGGAGCATGAGTGCAATCCCAAGAACAGTCCCACCCGATTCCGCATGTATGGACTCAGGCAGCTCTCTGCTTCAACCACACTGCCCCGCTCCTGGCCCCGAGATGTGGACAGGAGTAAGGGGGGCGTGACCGTGAGAAGTTTGGGAGCCACTGCTTTAGACCTTTATGGCAACACAGAAAGGATTGTGTAAGAGTCAGGCTTGGGGTTCAAGTCTACTTATATTTCTGTTGTAATTTCCCTCTGCATCTGGAGCTGATCTCATCTGCCACTCTGTGCTTTACCAGGGGGACTATGATCCTCCTCCCCTCGTACATGTTACTAAATAAAAAAGAGAAAGGGGTGAGCCTGAGCAGAGATGGTCTTGATTAAATGAGAATCTTCCTAGGCCACCTCCTCTCCACTGCTGTCCAATGGGGAGGGGATGACAGGAGAAAACGCCCGTCAAAATGGCTCCAGAGTCGTTAGAGCAAGGGAAGCAACACCAAGGAAGCACTGCCCCACCAGCCTACCTCCAGTCCCCTGCATAGCCCTCCAGGTGAACCCTGCACTTTGGGAGTTCCATGGGCTTGGGGGAATGAGGTGCCAGGCTGGTGAGGGGACAGCAGCTCTATGGTTCGTTTCTTCATTGCAGTAAACGTAGGTGCAGCATTCCAGGTGTGCCTCTCTGCAGTGCCACACGCCTGACTCCATGCTCTCACTCCTTAGGCCTGTTTCAAGGCACTCTCACTAATCTCTGTGTTGTTGCCAGGTAAAAGCATGCGAGTTCTCTGCTCCTTGCTTTCTGCTTTACCCCCTTGCCCCAGTAAGAGGAAAGGGCGGGCAGGGAGCCAGCGGTAGCATAACTCCTGAGTGTGAAGATTGCCACTCTGGCATGCGGGAGCCAAGTGAACAATGCAAAGGGGGGAGGCTTTTGTGCACATGTGGGCTTGCTAGGGACCTATATACCCTTTACCCCCTGTGTGAACTTGCGATATCCCCAGCCCCCACAGTGGGTTGATGCAGTGAGAGCAGCGTAGAGTTTCTCCCTTCTGCAGGATTTTCCTCAGATGGGGTTGATGGAGCTTGTGGTGCAGGTAAGGGAGATGTATTGATGGCCTCTCTTCTCAACTGTTTAGATTACGTCCAATAAAACTTCTTGTACAATATATTCATTCCATGCAGCCTAATTATCGGGGGAAAAATCCCAAGACTGAACTCTCACAAGCATTGAAAGACTATCTGGAGGCCATCCGCAGCAGAAAATATATTTCTACATCAGGCTTTGAAATCCATTTTCCTGAGTAATAATTGAGATTCAGAAAACACCCCAAGCAAAACAAAACCTCTGTGTGCTTCCAGAACTATTGGAAGAGCCATGTGGTTGAGAAGTAGTTGAGTTCCGCCCCAGAGTACTGTTTGTACACCCAAGTGTGTAGCATAAGGTGCACCTGTTACGATGATGGTAGAATTGGTTTGTTGAGCTGATTACTATGCATCTCAAATACGATATTTTCCCACCCAGTGAATGCTGCTGACAATAATATGGTCACAATTATGGTGCTCTGGTTAGATATGGGCAACACTTTCTAGGCCTCTCTTTTCAGGTGCTCTCTAACTTTCTGATAAAACATCTGTGATTGGAAAAGCACCATGCTGCTTTGCTTAGCTCAAAGGCAGTTTATGTTCCTAGGAAAGTTGGACAAACGTCTGATCGTCCTTTTTTAAATTTATCTTTGCGTTAGGAAAGTGTGTGCATGCTGACACTTTTAAAAAATGTTGTCCTCTGATACCTCAAAAGAAATTTTTAAGCTTCCAACTTGACATGTATGTAGGCCTCAGTGATGAACGTGCTTTGATTAGGCATTTAAAAATAAGACACATTGTGCATGTGCAGTAGTGTGTCATTTCCCTGTTGATTCAGTGTGATTAGCCAGATATGCGCATCAGATGCGTGTGGATGTTCCACGTGCAAAATCTAACTGGAAAAAGGCAGATGATGTTTCTTCAAATAAACAAGGTGAAAAATGAGTGAAACGAAACTTTTGACAACACTGTTAGGAAACGTTTCCTGTTGTTCAGCCTAAATAGTGCCCCGAACAAAATGATGGAAGCTCCTTCCCTTAAGTAAATTAAAATGGAAAGTTCTCAGATTTGTAAAGGCATTGCTTCTCTGGGTTGCAATGCTTAAGTGACTTAGATGGCTGAGTCCCAGTTCCAGATGTGATTTTAGGCACATAGGAGCATAAAATGAAAATGGGACTTAGCCATGTGAACCACTTAGGCCAGGATTCTCAAAGGTATTTAGTGCCTAGCTGTCACTGGTTTTACCTCAGTACCTTTGCGAATCTGGGCCTAGGCCTTGCAACCTTGAGCAGAGAAACGCTGAATACCTTTAAAAGTCAGGGTCTAAGATCCACAGTGATTGCAAATATGCAGGGAGAGCCAAAGAGCAGGTGGTGGCAGGGTAGGCTGTCAGACCATTATGATCTTAGTGCTAAGTGTTAATAGGGTGACCAGCTTAGCTGTGCATTTGTGACTGCCTCGGTTTGGGACATTGAAGTGCCTAGAAACAAATACTCTAATAGACCAGGATCAGTGATTTTTTGTGTGTGTGTTTTGATTATAGGGTGCCAGATTTCTGCAGGGTGCGTGCTCAGCACATTCTGGACATCAGGCCCCTTTAAGGGGTCTAAATTTGGGCACTCTGAACTTTGGGTGCCCCAAATTACTAGTCACTTTTTGAAAGTTGTGGCTGTAGCCGTTAACTTTATGTTAAACGGGAGAATACACAGGAGAGAACAATCCTGCATTGGCAGGAGGATGGTCTAAATGACTTGAAAGGATTTTTTCCCTCATTTGTCATGTATGTGCTTTGGAGAGGTGAGACGAGCATTTCCTGGTCTAGAGTTCATTTTAATCATTTGAGTAAAACAGCAAGTTGGGGTATACATATATCCGGAATGCCAGAGAGTAGGCTCTGCGATCTCTGTGTATAATTTCTGGGAATTTTTTAAATTTAAAATAAAAAGGGAAATTCAGTATAAAAGCCCCTAAGTTAAATGCAGTGTTATGATTGGTAATGTAAATTCAAAACTCAGGGAATGATTAATGCCCGCAGTAGAGCTATATTTGAAGGCATACACCTAGCAGGGAGGAGGGCAGGACACTCAGTCTCAACGCCGCAGAGTGGATGGAAGCAGCAGCAAATGCTAGAGAGGAATGGAAGAGCCTAGTTTCTGCCCTGTGTGCCCATATTGGCATGAGAAGGATGCAACTAATGCACCTAACAGCGTGCATTAGTTGCATCCTTGTACAGTGCACAGTGTAAATGCTACAGGTGTGCAGAGGGCTGGGTTACAGTTGCTGCTGTAACCATACTTTGGATTTACTGACTTAGGTTTGTTTAAATTATCAGCCGTAGCATTGTACTAAGGTAGGTCTAGTCGGAGCAAAAGCTATCTGTGCCTAATTCTGTTCTCTCCATTGCACCAGTGTAAATCAGGAGTAACTCCATTGAAGTCAATGAAGTTACTCTAGTGGGAAACCAGTATGAGTGGGATCTGATTCAAACCCATCTGTGTCACTGATATGTAGAACATCTGCTGAGGGTAGGTAGAAACTGTTGGACACTGAGCTGTTGGTGTGAAGCATAAAGACAGTGTTTTGCTGTAAGATATAAATATTTTTAATGATTTATTGTAATGGTTTCCCCCCTCTTTTTCAGATATATGTTGGGAAAAGGAGGAAAGCGGAAGTTTGACGAGCATGAAGATGGGCTGGAAGGCAAAGTGGTGTCTCCTACTGACGGTCCATCTAAGGTGTCTTACACCTTACAGCGCCAGACTATCTTCAACATTTCCCTTATGAAACTTTATAACCACAGGCCATTAACAGAGCCAAGCTTGCAAAAGACAGTTTTAATTAACAACATGCTGAGGCGAATCCAGGAGGAACTCAAACAAGAAGGTAGCTTGAGGCCTGTGTTCATCACCACTTCACAGCCTACTGACCCTCTGGGTGACAGCTTTCGAGAGGCTCAGCCTGCGTTCAGTCATCTTGCCTCTCAGCCAGTTCACCCCACTGACCTAGTAATCACTACACCATTGGAGTCTTGCCTCACCCCAGCCTCTCTGCTTGAGGATGACACTTTTTGCACTTCCCAGACTGTCCAACATGATGGTCCTACAAAACTACCACCTCCAGCTGTCCAACCGGTAAAAGACAGTTTCTCCTCGGCCTTGGACGAAATTGAGGAGCTCTGTCCAGCACCTACCTCTACCGAGGCAGTCGTAGTAGCAACAGAAGCAGCAGCAACAACAGATGACTCTAAAGATAACTCCAGTGAGTCTAATGTTCAAAAGTCTGAGGGAGTCCAAGAGAGCAGAACAAGTGAATCAAAACTCATGGACTCTTTACCTGGCAATTTTGAGATAACAACTTCCACAGGTTTCCTTACAGACTTGACCTTGGATGATATTCTGTTTGCTGACATTGACACATCTATGTATGATTTTGACCCTTGCACATCCGCTACAGGAGCTGCCTCAAAAATGGCTCCTGTCTCAGCAGATGATCTCCTAAAAACTCTCGCCCCCTACAGCAGTCAGCCAGTAACCCCAAATCAGCCTTTCAAAATGGACCTCACAGAACTGGATCACATAATGGAGGTGCTTGTTGGGTCTTAAAGTATAACGACTTTTTATGTACCAGTATATACACTTGGTAGTATTTTCACAACCCTTCCCTCCCTCCCCGCCCCTCCAAATTCACAGCACTGTGCATGCGTCCTTGCTTGCCTTTTTTAAAAGAAAAGGATCACACTAGTTTTTGCTTCAAGCAGAGTTGGAGTGCCTTCATCCATGTATGACCACTTTCAATGTATTTTTTTAAAGTGGTTCCTCAAGGAAGACCTAATACCCTGGTATAGGAAAGAATGCATATTGTAGACAATATTACTATGATCTTACGACAAACAAATTGAATTGTAAAAGCTAAGCACAAGGATTATGTTGGGGAAAGCTGTAAATTTGCATGTGCATATTTGTCTATTTTTTCTATAAGTTTTATTGCAAGAGGTAAAAAATTTATTATTTAGATAATCTCAGTACCTTTTTGGCATTTTAGCCCTGTATAGGTTGACTTAGCAATTCAGCCCTTTGGAGGCATTAACTAGTCTTCTTTAAGTGTTGCATTTACATGGCTGTTCAGAAACTGCTGCCCAAATTTATTTTATATTTTTGTACAGATTCTGCAGTTTATTATATTGTTTTTTCTAAAAAAAAAAAATGCTGTTTATACACACAAAAAATAGCTATTTTGATAGGATTTGCTCACATAGTTCCTGCATAATTGATGTACAAGAACCACTTGTACTTTTATACAGAGTTGTAATGTTTTATATGTGTATGGTGCAAAGAGAAAAACGGATCAAATAAATCTGCAGTTGGGTCTCCCTGAATGCAAACAGTGCTTTAAGAAAGGGCTGGGGCTGTTTCACAAGAGTTTCACAAATATTTACTCGCTGCTGTAGCCACCTGTGCACTACTGTGATTTGTAAAACCTTAGAGCCATGTCTACTCCAAGACCTATGTTAAACAGTTGGCAGGAGATAATTGTGAAATTTCATTCTAAGTGTTCTCTTGTGAGATCAAGGCTACTGAAAACCTGATCCTGAAGCCAGTATGTCAAGCAAATGTATAATCTTTTTTTTTATTTTTAAGCAAAGTTTTTGGGTTTTTTTCCCCTAAATTTGGAACAGCCAATTGTCTTTGTTACTTGAAATGTGTTACCATTTTAGCAAGTCAGCATTTCCTTAGCTGAAGTTACTGCGAATGATTTTAATGGGAATATACACGCCATTTACAAACAATACATCTCGTTGTAATTTTTCTTAAAGAAGGCATACGTGGTATTTGTTCCAGTTAATTTGTGTTCAAGATTCCACTTGCCCTTTCTTGGAGCATTCTTTCTCCCTCACTGTGTTAATGAGTGCTGAAAAATGCAACTTCAGTATTACTGCAGTGAAGCTCATCTCTTATCTGCACTGGATGGACTTATCTTCGTATCCATTGCTGTTGAAACTGGAGCCAGTTGTGTTACATCACTTGGCATCTCCTCTAGGGTTCGTTTCTTGTTACCTGCTTTACACTTTATAGACCTGTTTTACAATGAATATACAGACACAGCTTTCTATGCATGTTTCCCTCCCCTGTAACACCTGAGAAGTCTTCTCATTACTGCACCAGTAGCATTTCTGTATTCATTGTGGTGTACATTTAATTTAAAAAACCGTTTGCAATGTATCATGCCTGTTGCTGAAATTGCTATGGCATTTTAATTTTTCAATGGTACTTTAGCTGATGAGTGCAGGTTACAACCTATATTGTTGACATGCCTATGGCTTCTTTAGGAATAACTTTTATATTTATTTAAGAAATTTTAAATTATGTTTTTATGTCATTTGGCAATATTCAGTCAATTCTGCTCACTTCTTGTCATGGATAAAATTGGGTCTTGTCTGCCTTTAAAAAGGCAGCTTTATAAATTGGCACTTTAAACAGGCCATATATATTTACTAGTAAATATATATAATGCACACACACAACACAAAGCAAATAAATTTTGCAATGAAGGAACTGCTACTCTAAATGCAATGCATCATACAATTAGGAAATGCTTCTAGATCCTAATTAATCAGCCAGTTTTAGTATATTTTAAAGAGAATTACTAAGTGACACAAGATGTTGATATAATCGCAATAGTTCGCTTACAATACTAGTATTTTATGACTTCAAACAGAATGGCATCAACCAACTGTAGAATTAGGGACCATTTTGAATTGCTGGCGCAGGGCCAGCTAGGGAAGGGTTGCTCTGTTTTGCATCCAGTAATGTTTGGCGGCTGTTCATTCAGCAGCTTCCATTCCTTGTGAGAGAACAGTCCTGCCACAGACTCCGCAACTTTTGTAACTGGAGCACCCAAGAAACCCTGGCTACAACAAGGTGCATCAATCTGTATACAAAACCCTAAAGCCATGCAATAATGTTGATTGTTCAGAACAATAACATGGTAAGCAGTTGATTATCGTTGTTCTAAGTTATTGTAAATCGGTTCTTAACAACTGCCCTTTCTTTGGATTAGTTAATTGTGTTTTTAGACAAGCACCATATGTTAGGCAACAGTTCAAATAAATGCCATTTTCAGAGCAGTGAACTGCTGTTTAAAAATGGTTGTTTGAAGTCTCTTTGTATTTGCAGAACAGGAGACAAGATCTCAAAATCTACTTTACCACTCAAAAGAAATCTGTGTATTCTTGGTAATAAAGTAGGGAAATCCTTAATAACAGAGTACTTAAAGGAAATTGGCAGGAGATACACAAAGAGCAAAACACCTGATTTATAAAATTAGGCAGAAGGTCAGTAATTCTTATTTTGAACTGTAACCTTTAATTCTATAGATTGAAATGCTTGTTGGAATCTTCTACTTTGGCAGTAACTTTCTTTCTATAGCATGGCCTTCTTGCAAAGGTCAGAGTATAACAGTCAGGATAAGAATTCTTTATAAAAGATGAATACCCAGGTGATGGATATTGACAATGATGTGCAATGAAGTGACAAGATGGGAGCAGAACAAAAGAGCTTTGGATTTGAAGTGATTTTTTCATAAGTTATTTATTCCTTTTTTTTTCATTGTAAATATATTTATTTTATTGTGAAGCTAACAACATCTGGATTGTAACATGTACAGAATGTATGGTAGGAATGTATTCTCTTGTAGGAATGTAAATCTGTATGAAAAGGGGATGGGAGCCTGATTCAGAGAAAATGCATTGGGTTCTATTCGGGATATGCACGGTTCACATTAATCCCCCCCGCCCCCTTTCCAGTATGGGTCTGGTTGTTTGAAATATGCAAAAAGGATGGATGAGGGAGATTTTAATACTCAAAATTACTCATAAAAATCGGGCTTGTAATGTGTCAGTTCCTTTAAAGGGGCTTGCTCTTGCACCCTTTAAAGTCGGATGGAGTCTTGAGTAGACGCAGCAGCAAGGTCAGCATACTATCGCTGTTCCTTTAGGGCGTGATCTTGTAAATGCATGAGTAAGGGCAGGTCTACACTACCACTTAAGTCAACCTAACCTGTGTCACTCAGGGGTGTGAAAAAGCCCCTGCTTCCCGCCCCGCAGCGCAAGTTTCGCTCTGTCCACACCAGCACTATATCGGCGGGAGACACTCTCCTGCTGACGGAGCTTTGGTGTCTCACCGAGGTGCCGATGGGAGAGCACTCTTCCGTCAGCAAAGCACGTCTTCACCAGACGCACTACAGCTGCATTGGTGCAGCTGCGCCGATAGAGCGCTGTAGCGTAGACTTGCCCTAAATCTTTACTCATGCAAGGAGTCCCTGTGAAGTCTGTGGGGCTATACGAGCGAGCAAGAGTTTGCAGGGTGGTGCCCTTGCTCCAGGAAGTGCAAAGAACTGACACTGCATTTGTGCAAAATGGTAAGACACGGACAAAAAGTTGTAAATGCACTTTCCAAGTGCACCATGTTTTTTTGCATGGGTTTTGATTTTACTATTGCTTACTGGGCCTGATCAGGCAGTCCTTGCTCATAAGTAATTCGCGTAGTTCTTAGTGGGAATTTTGCTAGCAATATAGGATTGGGCCCCAATAACAGTCCCTGCTCAGAGTCTGAGTGGACTGTACATATCTGTATGCAAAGCAAGGAGAGATTCCTTTTAAAAGAAACTTTGAGGAGCAGTAAAGTATTAAAAATTAAAGGCATCTATTTAGTCATGTTCCTTGCAGTAAGCTACAAAATAAGATGATCGAGACACTTTCTTCAAAAACTAAATGAGCAAATTGTAATAGTTCCTTCCTGAGAAATGGTTTAATTCACTCCAAAGAGGTGTAAACATTTATTTAATTTTGAACAGATTTCAGCATCCTGCTCTTGTGAAAGTTGCTTTCAGTACATACATTAATGAGTCTGAATGTTTCTCAGAAATTAGCTCATTTTAAGCTCCCCCCCCCCCTTTCAGAAAATAGGCCTAATGCAAATTCTGGAATCCTTTTTAAAAAAACAAAACCTTTTTCGAGGGTTAACAATGTAATCCATGCTAGAATCTGTAAAGGCAGAGATTCTGGAAAAGGTGTATATAGTGTGACATGTTCAGTGCATGGTGGTTGAACAGGGCTTGTTATTGTCAAAAAGAAGGCTGTATTTTTTTTTCCCCCCACAGACCTTAGCGCTGTGCCTTTTCTATGCAATATTACAGACATATACATCTGAAACCAGATTACTGTATTCACATGTAGGTATGGGCTGTAATCAAAACAGTTGGACAAATGTACATGGAAATGAGCAGTCTTACTTTTGTAGTTTTATATTATACAATAAACAATTAAAAGATACAAAACTCTTGTCCCCGTTTTTTTTTTTTTCATGACCAAAACATTGTGTTAAATGGGAATCCAGACAGGACTTGGGAGACTTATTGACCGAGGAAGGACTTATTGACCCATTAGGGTACTCCATGGAAGTTAGGGGTAGCTGGGTTGGGGACAGGTGGCCTCACATAGGGTTGAATGGGACCAGTTGTGCGAGACACACGCACTCTACCCCCTAGCTCCTCTGTGGAGATTGCCCGGGAAAGGTAAATACAGCTTTGACCTGCGTTGCCTATGGAGCCCCCTCCATGGTAGGAGTTTCCTTGTAAGAGAGCTTCTCAGAGCAACCATGGCCAGTGGCAGTTGCTGGTAGCATAGCTCGATTGGAGCCACACTGGCCGAGGGGCATGAGGGAGCACAAGGCCTCCACAGGGATCGATCTTGACTCCCATTAGTTGCCTGTGCAGGGTGGCGGGGGTGGCTCATTCCCCAGGAGAGCAGACCCTGCACCCCGACAACAATAAGAGAATGTCCTCCAAGAAGATTCTGCCCTCGGAGCCCCCTCCGAATGGTTTGGCTGTCGGCAAGGTGGACCAGCCCTGAGTTTAGTGTGGGAGCAGTGTGGTCCTGGCTTTATGTTCTGTGGTATTAATCACCAAGTGTTAGATGTAGAATCAGTAGCTGCATTTGACTGGTGGGGCTGTCAGTTTACAGAGAGGAGGGAACAACCCTGCTCTCACTGGCACTGGGGCGAGCCTGAGTAACCCTGGGGCCTTCTGTGGAGTTTCCCTGGATTTCAGCTGGTGCAGCTGAGAACAGAATCCGTCCCGTTTTAAGAGACGGAAGGCACTTTAAGTTAGGACATTAAAAGCCAGCTGGAACCATTTGCTATATAATCCACTGCTGAATTTCAGATGTCACCCTCTCATCCCTTTAGGTCAGCATTTCTCAAATGCGGCCACCAGGGACTCTTCTTGTTGGCCACAGCCTCCTGGGCTGTGATGCGGGTGAGGGGGGAGTAGCGACCTCTCTCCCTCCTTGTTGCTCCTGGATGTTGGTGTTGCTTGCTGGGGCTGCCAGCAGGGGTTGAGCCCTGCACCCCCCTGGAGTTACCTGGGGCACAACGCTAGAGGAGCAGGCAGCAGGTGAGTTCTGCACTTTCCCAGGGGTGGTGGGGCCCAGGTTTTGGGCTTCAGCTGTGGGGTGACAGGGCAGAACACTCAGTTCGCAGGGCTCCACTGCCTCCTCCACTCTCCTTCGCCCCCCCCCCAATCACCCCTGGCTTCAGCTGCCTCCCCCAACCTCCCTATCCAGGGCTTCATTTGTCCCTAGGCTTGCCTGGGCTGAGTAAGTCTGCTGTGAAAAGTGATATTAACAAACATAAAAGTATCACTTTTCACAACAGACTTACTAGCTAGCAATAAAGGAACTACAATGATATCTATGTGCATATTTATTTGTTTTTCCTAAAGCTAATTAAGTGTTTTAGGAAAAAGTGTGAGCACGGCCACCGGAAAGAGTTGGTGGCCGCACTCTTGAGGCCACCAAAAAATTTGTCCTGAAAACCCCAGCTCTTGGTGAGTGGTATTTACTTCCCAGAATAGCAGGAGTGGAGAAGGCAAGGGCTTGTCTTTGCTCGAGCAGTTTTAAGCAATAATGAGTCTTCCTGAGCAGAATCTACATCAGGACTGGGTTTTGCTGTGGCCAGGTACAGAGGAGTTGAATCATATCATATCCTGGTTACGTATGGCCTCGTGTATTCACAGAGGTGGTGGTCTCTTACAAATTCAGGCAGGGCCATAGGTTCAGACACTGGCGATGCAGCTTGAGTTGGGGATTCGAAACTTCAGGAAAGCAGTGAGCTTTCCTGTCTTAACATGCCACAGACACCGTCTCCACTGCAGTGAACTGGCTCATGTCATCGGAATCACAGCCAGCAATGGCAGGGCACTGCATTTAGAACGCTTGCGACCCTGCTGCAGACCAGCTGCTGCTAAGGTCTGTTGCTCGGCAATAGTAACAAGTGGCTGCAGGAATACAGGGCACAAAAAATACTGAGGCCAATGAGACGAGTGGGAGGCTTAAGGACAGGCTGGTGATGATGTAGCAGGGGGGAATTTGCTTTCCTATTTCTGTTAAGACGAGAAGCCATTTAAATAAGGGTGGAATGTAACTGTGCAATGATAAAGCAAACCATCTTCCCAAACTCTTAGATACCTTACCAGAATCTTACCAGAGTGAATTTGTGCTCGCTCTCCCTAGCACACCCATCTGCACTGTACACTCACTCTTGTGCGTAAGGAATCTAATATTCCTAATCAAATATTTAGGAATCATTAGCCTAATTACCTAACTGGAGACGATTAGTAAAGGGATTGGGGATTTTGTGTTTTTACTAGTTTGGTTGACATTTAATTTTTAAAACATCTTGGCCATTTATTCCCATAGCTCGCTACTTTTGCAGAACAGGGTATAGATTCTGGGTAAATCTCAAGCTGTTGGTAGAATGCAGTTCCTAGCCTGCCTAGATTGGTGGTGGGGATGGGATTTGTCCCTTTTTTAAAAGCTGCTCATCTTTCCAATTCAATAAGATAAGGGCTTTTCTGATTTTTTCCCTATACTGGCAGAGTGATCTGTGTCTCCCTTTAATGGCTGGTCCATGTAGGAGGAGAAGGGTCTACTACAGCTGCTAGATAACAGAGTTTTTCTTTTAGCTCAAACAATAGATGCTTGTGCTGTTTAGTACTATAGATCCCAAGTGAGGGAAATGAGGGGTGCTCTGTTATATGTACAGACAAAGGTGATTCTGACCTCACTCCATGTTTAATTAGGTACAGAACCATGGAGGGCCGTGGAATTACATCAGTGTAGATGGGATCAGACTCAGGCTCATGGTATTTGAGTTGGACTCCTAGATCACTCTGGAAGGATGGGGCAGTCATGCAGGTGTATTAGTCACTCTATTGAGGAGTTGCAAGAGTTTAAATATACACCCCTGCCCCCCCAAAAAAATCAAGAGAGCAACTACAATCTAAGTGCACCTTTTCCCTTCCCAAAGTCCGTGTCCCCCTTGCTCATGTGGCCATCTGCTGCCAACCATCCAGGCAATGAGTCAGGCTATCACTTTATGTTCAAGGAGTGTCTGGTGTCCTCCCTGTTCATACCAGAGACGCCATTTCTCCTTTCCCCCTCCCCTAACCTTCCAGCAGCAGCATAGTACAGGCATCACAACAACTCCCTAGGCCTGGGGCAACCGGACATAATTACTGCTGGAGCCTGCCGGTGCTTCTGATCAGACACTGGATCCAGCCAGTTTCTGTGAAGCTGAAAGGCCGAGTTGGTGTAGAGAAGGGGCAGTGGGCGGGGTGGCTCCAATGTTAATGTAGGACTGAAGGGTAAAGGGGTGGGCTCATCTGAAAGAGTGGGAGGAGCGCTAGGGTCTGTCCACTTTTCGCCATTGGCCCAACCTGAGGCCAGGCCTCTTCCCCCTCAGGCCCCACTCCCCAGCCAGGTCAGAAGCTGGAGCCTGGCTCAGGTCAGAGTGGCCCGGGTGCCTGAGCAGCTGTGGGGAGCCATGGACCCTCCACCTGCCCTGGGTGGGAGGCCTGGGAGGCCTGGGGAGGGGCGAGATGGGTTGGGATCTGCTCTCAAGCCCTCCCCACCCTAGGTAGGTGGAGGAGCCCAGGCTCTGCAGCCTGGCTCCAGCTTCTGGCTTGGCTGGGGGATGGGAACTTGGGGGGGAAGAGGAGGGGCAGGGGTGGGGCCATGGAGGGGGCAGGGCCTCATGCCCCCACCCCCCTTTTTAGAAAGAATCCATCATCCCTGGTAGATTGCACACACACCCCCAAACTAAAACAGTCACTTTTTTTTTTTTTGGCCATTTCTTCACCCTCTGTTCTCCTTGTGCTGGGAGCCAGGCAAAAGCAAGCAGGAACCAGCAGAGACAAGAGGGTTCTGGGAGAGAACGCGCTCCCCCAGAAAATGTTCAACGAGCAGGTGCAATTTCCTGTCTGTTCCAAAACTGTACCCAAAAACTCTGTCTGGGAGCCTGCACTGGAATAGTGTGTGCACCAAGGCCCCCGGTGACCCTCCCCCTCACCCCCCATATTGCAACAGCACCAGCAAAACAGTGTCCCGCATCCTCACATCAGAGCACTGGGCTCCTGTGCCCATCTCACTACCGCAAAGGCCTTGCTGGGCTAGGCTTCAAAGGTGTGACGCTGGCATGTGTTCGTCAACCTGGCCCAGCTCCTGCGGTCTAAGGGCTCGGGTAACAGTTTCAAAGTGCCCAAGTCACTTAGGAGCCCTAGGCCTTGGCGACACACGAACGTCTGCACCACTTTAGCGCTACGAGGCCAGTTATACGGGTACGACGCTGCAGTTCTGTTGGTATAAAGGCACCATAAAGCAGCATAGCTTAGGCCCGCTTCCTTAATGGGATTAAGCCATCCCAGTTTAAGGCACTGGAGTCACACGATGGGGCTTATAGCAGTGTAACTATATCCGTAAACAACATCCCCTCTAACTGAAATAGTTACACTGTGTGTAGACCAGGCCTAAGGACTGTTACCGTTCAGTGGCGCTTGGGGCAATATGGGGCCATCTACACTGGGAAAAAAAACAAGGCTTATAGCCTGGGTCCACCGAT